CCCCAGGGTGACGTCTCACACTGTTGTGCAGGAACAAGGTGAACCGGTCCGGGGGATAGTCCAGGAGTAGCAGCCGCTGCAGGAAGCGGGCCAGGAACGGGGTAGGCTGTTCCACAAACACGGCTAGAAGCATCCGGGGAGGAGGCTGGAAAACAGGTCAATGCGGGTGGTTGTGATTGGGGGAGGCCCAGGCCAGCCACGGCCCACTTAACCTGGACTTCCACCCCCACCCCACTGCTGCCCCCCTGGCAGTGTCCTTCGGTGCTGGTCGCAGAAGCCACAGCCTCCCTCTGGGGTCCAGCCATTGGGGACATCTCAGCATCTCTGCTGGGGGCTGGGTAGGGACAGGGTCTCTGAGGATATAAGTCATTGATGACAACAGGGAGCGTGTCGTAGGCCACGTTGCGAATCCGGACCCAGTTCCGTTCGAATTTTAAAACCAGTTCCTCTGGGGAAAGATGAACAGGCTGTACACCCACTTCTTTTCCAGGTTCTCCCTGTCTCTCTGTCTACGGCATGGTGAGGAGCCAGGATGGGCAGGGATGGGCCACCCCCACTTTCCTAGGGTCTTGACCAGGCCGTCACCATGCTGGAGAACTCCGCACACCCTCCCACTGTGACCTATAACAAGGGACAAATCCCCGAGTCTGCTCTTCATCTGGAAAGGGAGGTAACAGCACGTGCGCACGGAGACAGTGAGCTAGGATGGCGGCTACTTCTGCTTCCCTCGGAGCACGGGGCCACTTCCTCCTTCAGCCGTACTGCCCCCCCCCACCCCTACCCCAGAGACGCTGGAACATCTAGTTCCAGCCAGAAACCCCAAACCACCCCAAACTTGATTCCAACTCAGTGGCCCTGTAGGACAGAATTGCTCCGGAAGGTTTTGGAGTTTGTGGACCTTGACAGGAGCAGCAGACTGGTGGATTTGAACTTCTGGCCTTAGGGTTTGCTTCATCAACCCCCTATGCCCCCGGGGCTCCATTACACCAAATACAGGCACGGCAGCGGCCCCCGCCCCGCCTGGTCCCAAGTCCTGCTTGCCTCTTCTCCTCACCTCACGCTCCATTGAGGTTCTGGAAGATCCGCGATTTGTGGTCCAGGTTAAGAACGAGTTTTTCCTGGGCAGGATGAGATGGGGTGGCTTCAGGAAAAGGCCACTGCCGAAGCATCACTCCCCACTCTTTTCTTTTTGCCCCATTCCCTAGATCACCATACGTTGAACCCCCACCTCTACCCCCACAGCCCCAAACCTGCATTGGAGCAGGTCCCCACCGCCCCCTACCCTCAGGCCCGGGTCCAGGTAGAGCTGCGTATAGAAGAGCTGGTCATCACTGTCGTCCTTGTACTTCCACTGGCGCACAACGTGGTGGATGGTGGGGG